CACCATCTTACACATCATCAAAATTAAATCCTGATATAGATATGCTGGTATGTTCTTTTATACGTATGATTATTACATGGGAAATGTATGTTAATGTTTTTTTTTTTAAAAAAAAAGTCTCGACAAGATGCACCTTCACCAACATCTTCAGTTGGATCAGTGTCTTTTAATGGTCGCATAAAGCGAAAAGGTAAAATAATATGATTACTTTTTTTTTTATTGGAATTTTCAATTATTTACAAAAATTGTGAATTTATTTTTGTTACTTAGCTTCAGATGATAGATTTGAACCTTATTTTAACCCTAAGCGTCGTGCAGTCTCACCAAGTTTAGTTGGCAGTCCACCAGTTGTAACAAGTGTTTTATCACTATCTAATAGTAATGGTAATAATGATAATGATGATGTTGGTTCATAATTGGTTTTGGATTGAATCATCAACACGAGAATATTTATTAAAAAAATTATATATTTGGAAGAGATTTATATTTGTATGTAATGTGTGTGTGTATGTAAATATATATATATATATATAGTGTTTTAATAAATATGTAAATTCAAACTTTTTATATTGAGATAGTGAATAGACAAAACTAGAATGGACAATAATTTACAGCAAATCACACGCAAGGGACTAGGCCTAACTTATTCTTTGTAGTCAATGAATAACCTAGATAAGCAAAGTAGTGCTATTATTGGACTCCAAATCAACATCTTCTTTCTGATGATCTATTTGGTTAAATGGCATAAGCACCTGCCCAGCAGCAGAACTCAAAGACAAATCTTTCTTGTATTCTGGGTTATGTTACATTTGATGTTACAAATATGAATAATAAATTGAATGTTTACTAGACATATATCCTTTCATGCTCAAATTGTTGATGTTCTATCCTTTACATAATGGACAGATTATACTTGTCTGAATTCGTCAACTAAATGTACTCAACGTCTTTTCTTCAACTCCTATACAAACCCTTCATTCGTGACTTCGTGAAAACTCTTCATTGGTACCCACTAGTTAACCAACAACGTTAGTTTTACTTAACCTTGCTTACTTGCTCACTAAAGCAAATAAACGTGGCTTTTTACCAAAGCTCCACAATTGTTAATTACACTTGTTTCTTTTATCAAAATGTTTTAAACAAAGAAAATAAAGACAATATTTTTTATTTCTATTTTTATTTTTAAAAGTTTATTAACGATTAATTTTATTTAATAAAAATAATGATTATATCACAGAGTTTATTTTATTAGAATGTTAATTATCTATTATTTTCCTCTGCAAGGACCTGTCCGAGGTATTCATTGTTATCGATTATGAAAAAAAAGCATTAACGCGATTACCAAAGCCACTTATTATTTCACGAGTTATTGTCCACAAATTTTAGTTGGCGTTTTTTGTTTTTTTGATAACTCGGACATGCCCAAGGACTGATAAGTTTTGTCGATTATGAAAAAAAACATTAACGTGATCACCAAAGCCACTTATTATCCCACGAGTTATTGTCCACAAATTTTAATTAATATCAACTATCTATATATAAGAAAAACATATCAATGTATAAACAACGAGGGCGCTCACTAGATCTTTAGCTAGCAATTTTTGCTTCCGTGTTATAAATTTTAGCCAAATTAAAACGATCGGTCGATTTTATCAAATTTAGAAAAAAAGGTATTAACAGCAATTAGATAATTCTTGGATAGCTTATA